TTGTTATCCGATTTTGAAGGTAACTTCATTTAGGATTTACGATTTTGTTATTAGTCTACAATGCATGAGATTTACCCCTTCTCCACATCCCTGCCACTTTAAACCCCACCTCCAAGATTATTTTTTTTAAAGAAAAAAAGACGAAAAGAATATTTAGAAACTATTCAAAAACAAACCCACTTCATGGGAATATTCAAGTAATATATATTTAGTGATAAAATCCTGTTAGTAAATCAAGTAAAACTACGCTAACCATGGGCCTCATAAGGACAAAATAATTATCTCTACTTTTTAGTAAACATCAATAAAAAATCTAGTATAATCTCACAAGTAGAGTTTGAGAAAAGTAGTGTGTACGTAAACTTTACCTTTACTGTTTAGTAGTATACTAATATTACATGTGATAATGTCTCTATATGCATTTTCAATTTACACTTTCGTATGGTCCAGATGTCCATATTACCTATATTTATTTTTATATTTTTGTACTTTATCTATCTATATTATATTAAAAGCACGAAAATCATTAGCGATTCGCCTTTTTTACCCTTAAAAAATATATTTCACATTAGATAAAATTGTAATTTAAGTTATTTTTTTAATATTTTGGATATTGAAATCAACTAAAATTTTAATTGTTAAATCTTTCCTTATTAGAATTATATAAAAGTCTTAATATTAAGGACTCTAAATATCAACTAAAAATCTAACATATATAAACTATTCCATATTTAAATTAGACTTGTTGTTTTTTTGTCCTTTACGCTAGGGTCTGTTCCATCCATGAAAGTATTAATGCAAAATAAGCTATTGGTGTCACAATTAGCCGTCATGCATTTAGACGAAGTCGTGAAGAGCATCGTGCAAGATTCAAAGGAGGCAAATTATTATATGGTTCTTCTAGGTGTTGATGAGTTTGAAAATATTTTTATTGCTCAGGTGAAACAGATTCAACTGAATATTGATTTTCAATTGAAGTTCTTACGTTGTATTATTTTCTTCAAAATTCTAAGGTACATTCAATCCTAATCGCAGTATTCATTAAATTCGATTATTTTTCTATAAATCTAGCATACTAATGAAAACACGAGATTTTTGTGTAGTTAGGAGACCTATATAATTTGTAGGGTGCGTGTTTATGTGTAGTTTGTTATTCAATTCAGCTAATCTAATTCAATATTTGAGATCAGATTACTTGATATATTTATTCGGTATTGATTGTGTCTTTATAAAATTTAGTGTGGCAGGTACCTAATTAGTAAGATTTCACTGATGAATAAAGGTATTTATTAAATTTAGGACCCCAATTAATCATACTATAACTGAATTGAAATTTGTAGGAATAATACGGGTTGCGCAGAGCATATTGGTAAGGAGATCTTTGGTAAGTTAAAGATGACGCCCATAACAACAATATGAATTAATGTATGTAATTACATTATTATTTTATGTATTAAATTATTTGTACTTAAGTTTCTCCTTTTTCCCTCACATAACATTGTGCATTTATTTTTCCAAGTATAAAATTATCTTGACTCTTGCTTGTTGGGGATTATATAACTACGAAGGACCGAATGTAAAAGAGTAGTTTTTCTGTATTAAATTTTTTATATTACACTATAATATATTCAGGGGTAGGTTTGAAAGAAGTTATCACTTTGAGTACAAAGAATTAAACTTAAATTCCGATACATGGCGGGGATTTCATGGGTGAAGAGCTTAATTATTGTCTTCCTTTTAGCTACAAAATGGTGTTGTATTCGTTAGGAGTTCATTATTCTAATGTTTAGTCCTGCTCTATCTGATATTAAGGCTATTAAATTTATTTTTAATAAATATTTTAATACGCTTTTCGTATAACTTTTTTTTAAAATTTCATAGTACGATGCAGATTTGTTTGCTCGGGAAACTAAAAGAAACATTCAAAACAGCAGCTAGAGCTACAAGCACTTGATATGACCTATTTGCATAAATATCCGGTCGTTTTATGTTAAATGTCTGAATGTGAAAGTGTTATATATTCCAGGTGTTAAAAGTCTAAATGTTATCCTAATTCATTCATATTCTAAAAATGAGACAATTCCATATTTTATGATTTTAACCTATATAGAATTAACTCTTTGACTTTGTTATTGCATAAATACAAATTAGAGATCTATATTGAAATTCTGATTGAATGCGTCACTACTATTCCTAATTATAAATAAATGAATAAAACTCTACTTTCATTTTAAAAAATCAATTTGTTCAAAGACAATTTCGGATATGTTTGTGATTTGCATCGATTTAAATCACATTGTCAAACAATTGCAAAAGTTGAACTCTATTTGCCAATGTCCATAGTAAAATTGATCACGACAAAGTAGTCAAGCAACAAAAGGGAATATACACCAGGAACTTAGCGACAGAAGGAAACATACGTCAACAACATCGCTGATAAAGAGATGTTAGATGAGATACATCTTAACATACTTGTATCTTATACAATAAAATATTTATTTACAAATACTATATAACTAACAAATTTGACGTGGTATACACGCCAAGAACATCGCTGATAAAGAGATGTTAGATGAGATACATCTTAACATACTTGTATCTTATACAATAAAATATTTATTTACAAATACTATATAACTAACAAATTTGACGTGGTATACACGTACAACACACGTACATTAGAACTAGTATATTTGATAAGTATACACTAAGTATTAGTTTAACTAAGTATCTTTTCTTTGTTGCAATTTGCAATGATTATCCAAAACTGATGCGATCAAATCAACAAGGAAAACACTTCCCACAAGATTAGGATATCTTATAGCTGAGACAAAATCTGATTATGTTAATTTGTATTTTAGGGAAGTATCTAATAATTGGCTTGCTTTATATCGTTTATCCCAAACTCGGAAGCACTTGTCGTTTATCTTTCTGAAGGACAATGCTCGATATATCAATACACGGCCTTTTATTGTTCTAATAACATAAAGAACATTATAATATTTGTTTATTCGACATTGTTAAAGATTTACTATAATTTGTGTCGAGGCTGGAGCTAAGACTTATTCACCTGTAAATGCTAATTGTTACGTCTAAATTGAATCACTTAAGCCATAGCTACGGTAAAATCTGGTGGCTCAAGTTCTACAATTCATATTGTTCCATTTGAAGAGATCATGAATCAAATAACGGATCAGTTTCAGCGATAATCAAATATTAGAAAAGGAAAATTTGTCAACATGTATCTTATTGACATTAATAAAAAACAGGTAAAAAGAATTTTATTCAAGCATAAAATTTGAAAGGGTAATTTTATTTTTAACTAAGCTTATGCATGTATTAATAACTTTGGTATTGCTAATACTATGGTTTGCTATGTATTAACTATATATGTGATAATACCAAATATGGTGTGTAACTAATATTTATATTAGTTATAAATATGTTGAAAAAGTATATCAAACAAGGTATTACTAATACACAAAGCCAATACATACATTATTTTTTCTAATACACTCTACCAAACGACCTCTTAGTGTTTATTATAGCAAAGTCTTAAAACTAAATTATGTAACCAAAAAGTAAATCGACTATGTTTATATTTTTGCAACAACAACAAACTCAAGGTAATCCCATAAGTGGGTTATGGAGAAGGTAGTATGTACGCGAACCTTACCCCTACCTTCTTGGTAGAGGTAAATCCTCGGCTGCCGGAAATTCGACGCTAAAAATTAGAGCTAAACTACCACATGCCTGATAAGAACTGACATGTCATCAGCACAATAAACCCATATCCACATATCTCCCATTTTTCACCCCAATTTAGACTAAAAGTTGAAATTTATCAGCAGACATAATATACAAAAACTCAAGTTACCTATGGGTAGATGATGTGGCAGTGTTTATTTGGCAATTTCATCTTATGTTGCAGACTTGCTGCTTAATTGTAACTTTCTTCACCCGCTTGATGAATTTTCGCACAAATTTCATTTTATGTGACATATATTTTTTTGTTAATTTTATGACGTTGCAACAATCCTTTTAGTTCAATAACTATCCATGAAATTAACCCATGAAATAGGACCCTCTAGAAGTTAAAAATAGGAAGAGAAAATGCAAGATAGTTATTCAGACCCACATATGATAATTGGCAATTGGCAACCTAAGAGAACACGCAGGGGGGCAAAGCTATTTTGCATACCTAATAAGTGCCAAGTCGAGAGAACTCTTTTTAGAAAGAAAACCGCAGCGGTAGAAGTCGTCAAAAAATGTCTATGAGAGAACTGAGCAACATGAATAAGAAAAATCTGTGCACGATTGAGGGAATACTATAAAGGACCTCAGAAATTACTATTACAAAATAGAAACCTATAGACTTGGCCAACTAAATGATTTAACACTTTGAATCACTAATGCAAGAAACCTAGAATCGGTCAATTAAATGATTAAAAACTATGGTCCATTGTCTTTCGAGACAAATCAATTCCAATGAAGCACACGTCTAAGAAAAATAGCAGGTCAAAATCCGCGGTAAAACGAAAGTCCTCAAATGAATCAAGAAAAACAAGAGGTAGCAGAATTTGACCGCAAATGCAGTTGCAGGTTTTCGCCAACATCATAAAGTAAGCAACTGAATTGGCCGCAGTGCCAGTGTAGTGATGTTAAGGAAAAACAATTACCCTACCCCAATGTTACCAAACCAATGAATGCAGAATATGTGTATATACTTATATCAACCAACCTAAGTGATATGTTCTAACTTTAGTTTGATTTGATGTTGGATATACGACAATTCCTCTCCAGATGTATTTACGAGGAATCTGCCCTTGGATAAATATATATGCACATATTTGATGACGTGTGTTAGAATTTTCTATACGTTCAGGCTACTGGTGTCACCTTTTCGGTCCCATTGATCAAATTTCAGCTTAGATTTCTGGATTCCACTAACTATACTAAAATCAGGAAAAAATTTTGTACCTAAACAATTTGGAAAGAAATAAGGAAAAAAAATTGATACCGGAAAAGTTCTCTTTCTTACCAATTTGGGCCAAAGTCTGTCTACCTGATTGATATTCTATCGAATTCACAAATGATAGAGAAGGGCGCAATAGTTTCACGCACGAGAAGCTTAATATTTCTAAAGCCCTAACAAAATCCTCACGATTGACTCAGTATTATCCTTGCATATATAATTCACCAATATTTGTAAAAGTAACATATTTTCCATATTTGATGCCTCAATCTAGCCAAGAAAGTTCATGATCACCAAATGGAGCACTAAATTGCAGAGAATAAAATCTGCATAAGCACGTTCCGGAGGCAAATCCTGCAATGATGGACAAAATATCAAATGCGAACCAAAAACATTTTCTGCAAGTACTTGTAATTTTCTCGCTTTACATTTCTCTTCTTCTATGAGGAAGCAAGACCACATAATTAGAAGTGCAGGACTAGGATGTTACGCATTCCTCGTTAATCTACAACTTCACAATATCTTTTAACACAACTTAAGTAGAGGGAAGATTCGAGGTAAAACTGTAAGATGGAAGATCCTACTCCACTAAAGCTTACCTTGAATTCCTTGTTTTCTTTGTTTACTTGGATTCGAAGACAAACTGCGCCCAAAGATACTAATCAATCAGTTCCAATTAACATTTTCCTAAAATGGAGGGTACCCAAATAGAATACTTAGCTCACCAGCAAGGACTGCCGTGCCAATACAAGAGAGCACCCCAGAGAGAAAAGAGTTGAATGGAAACGATCCAACAAAAGCCATGTATACCACCTGATTATTGTCAGTAGAAGTGAAAAATATGTCAACAATCAACCAGATAGATAAAACAAACTAATAAGCAAATCAAGCAAATATATCTCAATTCTCAAACACTGAATCAAGTCTTTACTCTTCAATTAGCAACGAATAAACTAGCAGCGGAGCTCTTTACACAGGCAAAATTTCTGCTTTGAGTTTGGCACATTATCTTCGGCTTCCTATAAGTTAGCACATTTGTAACAAATTTCAGGCAAATGATCCTTTCTCACACAGCTTTTTCGAGTTCACATTTAGTTAAAAAAACTTTACACAAATGAGACCTTAGGAGGAGGAGTATAAGAAAGAAAAAGAGAAGTAGTGACTTGTGTAAAAGAAGTGCTGCTGGGAACAATACAAACTGTAATGCCGGCAAATAGATGTGGATTTTGTAAAATAGGTGAATAAATAGGCTTTTTTATGCAAAAATTCTTTGGGAAGGTAAAGTAATTTTTTTATAACCGAGAAATTCCTGAGGGCCTACAGCACACAGTTCGAAACTTGATGGATAACGGACCCGCCATTCTACCCTTCTCCATTTAAATACCAGGCTTTAGTTCGCGATAATTGATCGAACTCATGACATATGCCTAACCATACATCATGCTTTTACCACTAGACCAATGCCCTAAGGAGGTAAGATATTTTTTTTTTGAGTGTTTTTTTTTTTTTTT